CCTTGTCAATAATTACATCCACTGCTGCCCATTTGAACTGAAAGATGAATTATAAAAACTTTTGCTGCTTTTCTTATTGGTTAGCATTAGCAGACCTCTTGTTCCTTAAGCTGAAACGGTGGTGTAAAGAATTTTTCCATGGCCCACAAGGTTTGTCACCATTGTGAAGAATTCATGTAAGATTCCAAAAAGCCTTCTCATATTCACCTTATATGTCTCTAAGTACAGCCTTGTTTATTTCTCATCTTCGGATGCTGTATATCAACTTGACTCATTTTTCTTTAATTTTTGTTATATGAGTCTCTCTCTCACTATTATAATTTTCTCTCTGTACGATGTTTGACTTCTTCTATAGGCAGGACTCTGTTCTGTTCTTTTGGGACTTTGACTTAGCTTCTTCTTGAAAGATCTTTGGTTAGTCACTTTTTAAAAATTTTCACACTATTTTTATAAAATGGGCTTCAAAATATCTTAGAAATTTGAGGAAAACGATGCATATTTTTTCTTGCTTATGTCTAGATTGCATCAATTTCTCGATATTATAAAAATAATTTAGGAGAATCGCTTGAACCTGGGCAGAGGTCACGGTGAGCCGAGATCTCGCCACTGTACCCCAGCCTGGGCAACAAGAGTGAAACTCCGTCTCAAAAAATTAATTTTTTTTTCAGAAAAATGTTTTTATCCTTATAAATCTGAAACAGTCTCCCAGGTTTTAAAAAATATGTGTTATTTAAAAATATATGAAAGGAAGATTTTTCTCTCCTTCACAGCCCACAAACTCTATCCTTTCTTACCCTCATTCCCTACCAAGCCTATGGCTCATTTTCCTCCTTTTGTTAAGATGTTCCATGCTCTTAGCTTGCAGAGCTTCATAAGTACTCTTCAGTTATTCTTCTTATAAACTGATTCAAAATACTTGGCTTCAAAGACTATTTTTGACTACCTTCACTATTCCCTTTCTTAAGATGCATCTGAAATCCCCTGTCAACACCACTCATCTCAGATATTACAAAAGACCCTCATCCTTAGTTTTCCCTTTTCCATTTCTCTTGTGGAGTATACCCTTTCATAAATCTGATCTTTTACCTTTCAGTTTATATCAATTCCATAATCACATATATTTCTTCACTCCCAGATGCCACAGACATTACAAACAACTTAACTTCATGTTAAACATCTCTGTGTGTCTCGTTTTCCTGTTGACTTCTGTGAAGAGCCCTTGACAAATAATACATTTCCCTGTCTGATTCAGTTTGTTTATAGTATCTCAAATGAATAAAATGCTCCAATCCTAACACAGACTGCTGGATGTTTTGATTTTTGAAACACATATTACTTACTATAGATGAGTCCCAACACTATTTCATTAAGCTTTTCTAATAGATATCAATAATGTTGCTTAATTAATGGGTGTTTTTGGTATGCAAAGTCACTCAGAGGAAAGAGAATGAGGACTGAGACCACTGTACAGAATTGGAGTTGGTGGGTGAAAGAGGTAAGGATATTTCTTAAGCTCACTCTGCTGGCAATGTCAGAACTGCATTCAATCAGTCATCATTAGCCTTGAGAGTGGGAGTCTACAGTGGGCTTAGCAGGAAGCATACCAGGGTAAATACAGACTTTTTCCAAGACAAGTTAATTTAAGACCACCTAAAAACTCTGATATAATAATGGAGTCAAAGACACCACGTGGGTTACGAGGTCTGGAGCTCAAGACCAGCCTGGCCAATATGGTGAAACCCCATCTCTAATAAAAATTCAAAAATTAGCTGGGCGTGGTGGTGAGTGCCTATAATCCCAGCTACTAGGGAGGCTAAGGCAGGAGAATCATTTGAACCCCGGAGGCAGAGGTTTCAGTGAGTCGACATCACTCCATTGCACTCCTGCCTGGGCAACAGGGCGAGACTCCATCTCAAAAGGAAAAAAAAAAAAGAAAACGCACACACCAGAATCTACTATTTTTAACATTTCTGAAGTCAAGGAGAAACTAGTGTCCTTGTAGATTGGATTCATTTCCCATGAAATGTGGGGTTTAGGCCCAGCTCCATCATATCTGCATATGTTGGCACATACATTTTTAAAAATATGACCACACTCTTACCCTTTTAAATTGCAAAAAATGTCGCCTCTGACTACCTGCCATTAATAGTAAGTAACTCTCATTACAGAAGCACATCTTTTAAACCCCAACACTGCCTCTGTACGTTCTATAATATGAAAGTTAAATAACCCAAATAATAGCCCTGCAATTACTATTGAAAAAAAATCCAGCGATGCTAAAATGAAACTGGATATTTTTCACTTGTTGTTGTTACAGAATATATGTGTAGAATATAAAAATCATAATTTGCACTCATCCAACTTCTTTCACTTTAGTGTCTCAAGTCCCAGAGTGTAAGTGGTCTCATTAAGTTTACCAAACCAATTTAACTCTAACATGCTCTTGAACCATCTCTCCAAATCCACTGAGGCTTTTCTGCCCTGAATGCTGAACAGTATCATCTGAAATTCTGAGCATTCTGTAGATATGTTTGACCTTCTGCAGATAAAACTCACTCAATCGTTAAGTTATATGTTAAAATAGACAAAAATTACCTAAATAAAAAAGAAAAATATGACTATTGTATATTTAGCCAAATCTACACACATCCATAAACTCTCACATATACAAAATAACTGAATTTATGTATAACTGGATGTATTAGAATGAGGCAAGCTTTGGCTGTAAGAACAACTAGAAAAACAAGAAGAAATACTTTATCTGAATCTATGGAAACAAAGTCCATTGGTTTCTAAGCTCCATTTATTTAGGCAACAAGTGGAAGTCTACGCAGATATTTATTTACTTATTTTATTATTTCTGTTCTGTACTTTATGTTAGAAAATGCTTCCTTTTTTTTTTTTTTTTTTTTTTGAGACAGGGTCGTCTCACTTTGTTGCGTAGGCTGGTCTGGTCTTGAACTCCTGGGATCAAATGATCCTCCCAATTTGGCCTCCCAAAGTACTGGGGTTAATGGTGTGAGCCACTACGCCTGGCCAATTGTTCAGATATTTCTCGAGGACTCATTACATTACAGGAACTATGGAGGATACAAAGATAAGTTATTCATAGGAAGTATACAAATACTAAAACTGCCAGCACAGGTAGAGTATGGTAAGTTCTATGAGGATGGGGGCAACGTAGATATCATTTAGTTCTGCATCCTCAGTGCGTGATACTGTGAATAGCAAATAGTAGATGCCAGTATGTGTTTCAGAAATATGTAATGAAAGAATAATGCCCTCGTTTAGTGTAGACATTCAAAGGAAGGAGGGACTACTCTGTCTGGTGTTAGCCAGAAAAGCTTTCTAGACGATGAAGTATTTGATCTGAGTCTAAGGGATGAAGGGATGGGTTCTAACGGAGAGAATTCACATACCAAGAAGAGGCCATCACACAAACACAAAGAGAGGCAGGAAAGTGCGAGACAGCCTTTAGGAAAAGCAAATTATTCAATCTGGCAGTTCAGCATAGGAAATCAATAAGGAAGGCATAGTATACAGATAAGAATGAAAAATTAGATTTAAGTCAGACTGATGAAATCCAGAAATGCCAAGTTAGGGAGTCCAGATTTTATTCTTGAAGAAAGCTTGGACTATCTGTGTTCAGATGCTTACACAACACCTTAGCCACTTGCCAAGGAGTCATCAGCCTTGATCCTGCTTCTGAACCTGTCAGAGGGAGTCATCAGAAGCACATCCTAATTACATTACCAGCTACTCTCCAAGAAGCTGCTCAAAGAGAAAACCTGCAAAGTGCAACAGTCGCAGAAGAGAAGACGAAAACTAAAGAAGCAGGAGAGACATTTAGAAATGATTAACGTTGGTCAGTTTCATCACTTCCAAGTCTGTTATCAGACACCTGTTATATTTACCATGGTACTTCGAACACAAGTTGTTTTAGTTCTAGTTGTTGGAGACTTAATGCACAAATCTCAAAAGGTAAAAAAAGTTCCAAGGGAGAATAAGCCTCTTCAGGGACCTCTAATGTGTTACATAATGTAGCCTCTGCCTAAGGAGAAACTAATTCTTTGAGCAAAATGGTAGAGAGTAGGCTTCCTGAATACACAAAATTGCCCCATTTATTCACTTAAAGCACAAATGACCAGGAGCTGTAGAGAAATAAAGTTATAATACATGCCTTGAGCAACTTACAATGAAGTTGAAAAAAAGTTTAGCATTCTTAAGTCCTAGAAAGTTTATAATATTTGACTTTAGCTTCTTTACTATTTCTTTACTATTTCCATTTTAAGAAAATTAAAAGGTTTAAATAACTTGTCCAAGCAAGAAAAAAAGAAAAACAAAACCAGAATCCAAATTTGTTTGACTCCAGAGAGCATACTCTTTCTCACGTACCACATAGCCTTAGAGTCTGCCCTAGGATATGGAAAACACTATATTGTAGTAGACAAAAGCAGGATCTCTAGATAAAAGCAAGATCTAGGTTGTAGGTCTTGGCTCTACCTCTTGTTAGCTGTCTGACTTTGCACCTGTTACTTTTTGTGCCTCCATTTTCTCAATTGTAAAATGGGAGGAAATAATATTTCTTAAGGTAGTGTTTCATAATGTAATTCCTTACCTGATAGAGTTGTTGTGAGATTTAAGTGAGATAATACATACAAAATGCTTAGGAGAATAGCAGGCCTAAAGAAAATGCTCATTAAAATTAGCTACCATTTTTCAGTGCCATTTCGTTATAATTGCAATAATTTAGACAATTCACTGCACATTTTCCTGATTTCAGTCAACACACAAAGTCTTCCTTTAATCAAAAAGAAATCCCTGGAAATATCTTATGCAGTCATTAATTTGTACACAATTGAATATATGAAATGTTAACATGGGCAAAAGTCACAAGCATTTGGTTGCTTTTTGGAAAGACAATTCTTGCTCTGGTAACTTTTCTGACACTGATACATTTGACTGATTAGCGTTTTTGCTATCTGTTTCTTTCCTGACAGTCAAAACCCCAGATAAGATGACACATTTCCGTAGTTTGCAAACTTACCCATGAATGTAGGAGATCCATATCTGAGCAGGAAGACTTGAGACGTGTGTGGCGAACACAAGAGGAGCAGTGGCCCCAGGGTCCAACCTCGGCTATTTGGAAATCAACATATGTCCAGAGAGGGTTTTCAGGAAAAGGCTTCCAGTGATGCCATATGTCAGCTTCACCTTCATACCAGGCTAATTTATCTTCCAAGTTGCAGTCATTTAAAGTGTTGGATGTACCCTGTGTTGCAGAAAGAGTATCCGACCTAATCTCCATTTCTTCCTTCCTGCTTGCGCTAACATTACTCGTTTTCTTTTCTTGGGATTTGGTTAATTTCAAACAAGAAATCAACGTGTCATCTTCATCTTCTGAATGACAAATAAGTAGGTTAAAAACTTTACATATAGAAATTATACTTCCATTTAGGTAAGAAATATAAGTGAACCACACTGGATAAACCAGGATGTCATTCAATTTTACAAAATTATTCCAGCAGCATTTCTTTAAAGAGTAAGTTATTTTGCATTATAAAAAATTTTGTTTTGTAAAAATCTGATTTTTCTGACATTTTTGAAACCATATCTACTGATTAAAGTCTCACTGGAATGAATAGAAGCCACATACAAATAGCATGCTGAAAGATATTTGAGGAAAAAAATACAATTAATAAAAACACCTCTTATAAGATGTTATGTTCCTATTCTTAAATATTTTTAATTTTTAAGGTCATATGTATAATAAAGAATTACAAGGAACACATGGACACAGGGAGGGGAACATCACACACCGGGACCTGTCAGGGGTTCGGGGTACAGGAGGGACAGCATTAGGAGAAATACCTAATGTAGATGACAGGGTGATGGGTGCAGCCAACCACCATGGCACATATATACCTATGTAACAAACCTGCACGTTCTGCACATGTACCCCAGAACTTAAAGTATAATAATAATAAAAGAATTATAAGGAAACAAATAAAATTATTTGCCTTACTTAAATGAATAAAATTTTAGTGGGTATGGAATGAAATCCTACTGACATTCTGAAATTGTCTATTTTAATATCAACCTGCCAAGAAATTTATGTATGCAGTGTGTCTCATGGTGAAATCGTTTTTAAAAAGCAAGAACAACAAAACAAAAAAGGCATATCAGTAATGCTATAAAGTCCATTTGTGAAACCTATATGTACACAATGTGGCAAAGAATCTGATGAAATTTCTAGTAATATAAAAAACAGTTACAGAAATAGAAATATATATCACCCAGAGTCAATTGCTCTATGTCATGGAATCCCTTTAAATCCAAATGTTTAATGGGTATTTTTAAAAGATTTTGATTAATCGAAACATGCTATTATGAATAAATAAATGCAAATCAAAGTTGCATGCCATGGACATACCAGCTTGCTAGGTTTACATCAAAATTCAATTATATTGTTTTCTGTGGCTAAGGAATGGGAACAGTAGACACTGCTGAGCTTCCTCCATTGCCTTCTCTCACTCTGTCTCTGAGCCCTGTCTCAAAGGAAAGGAGAAATGGGGTGTGACATAAATGTGGGGTAAAATTCAGGACTAGATGGGGATGCCTGTTTCAAAATAACTTGGCAATAAAGAAATACTCGATGTTTAATGATTATCTTAAGACCCTATCAAAATGGGCTCCATTAATATATGCTTCTTTAGTTCTCCCTCAAAGGAATTTTAACAGCTTATTGAGCTTTTACTTACGGAGGTTTATTAATGTCGGTTTCACCTCATCCAGACTCTGCACTCTGGCTTTCTTGGTCCAAACCAGTCTCTGCAGTCGCTTTAGTGTCCCCATTGATTCCACTCGGTCACCGCCCGATTTTATGGCCTAGCACAAACACAGCTCAAGGTAAAGACAAATTATTCTTCACAGCAGATTAAATATAAAATATGTTGAGATCATAAATGTGGAAAAGTTAATAATGTGACCTTAAAACCTGAAGCCTGAGTCAATTTAAGCAATAACTTGAAAGCACACCACACTTTTTTGGGTTCAAAATTGTAAAATATGTTACAACTGGCCAGTCATACTAAAGCAGAGTGGTTTTACCAATTTTTATTTTTTTTTTACCTCAAAATACAGCAAAATGGATTGAACTCAGAAATATCTATAAATGACTCACTCCTGCCCACTGCGAAATAGTGGAAAGATCTTTGCAGTGTAATATAGATGGAACAAGAGGTTCAACATTGCTATTTGCTAGTATTGGAACAGACTGATAGTATGCAAAGTCTAACTGCTAATATTAGATAAAGCAGAATTTAAGTTGTCTGCATTTTCTTTTTGGAAATTTGTGGGCGAACAGCACTTGTTTCAAGTATGAAAAATTTTCAAATAATACACTTTAAAAAAATAGCCTCTTGCTTTCTAAAAGATATGCACAAAGTGACACAAAGAATAGCCACAGTATGCCACATTATGTTTTAATATATAAGAATCCCTTGTTTATTATGACAAAATATGGATAAATTATAATTAACATTTCATTAATGATTCCTGTTTTCTTTAAAAGATTCAGGAATGTTTTCCACTAGTTCAGTGTTGATGAATTAGTATTTCTACAGCCTTTACTTATTATCTTAAGGACAGTTCCTCTTAAGGATTTCAAAATACTTTTGAAATTAACATTTTATGTGCCAAGTTTTATATGAACTGATAAAATCATTGTGTTCTGTTGAATTCACAGGTGTGATGTAATACATATAGGAATACCTCTTCATCTAGAAAATTCTGGACTCAGAAATATTTCTCCACCTGCTTTTGTCTCATTCTTTCCATTGAACAGCTGACAAACAACATCTACAAAGACACTGCAATTTTCAAAAGGTGAATATGTGCTTCCTCATTAAGGTTTGAATGAGACATACTTATAATAATGCTTTCCAAACCTTTGAAAGAGACTATAAGCCCAAATAAATGTTTGGGAGTGAAGAATATGTGACATGTAACATTTCCAATCTTTATACTCAGCTGCTATTTTTAGTCTTTAAGAATGACTTTGAACAACCAGTATAAACTTGATGTTCTGTCTCTGCAAAATAGCACTTATGTAGGAAATGTGACATTTTTGTCAGAGCAAGCTATACCTTTTCGCATTAAATAAATGAGAAAATATTGAAATCATTTTAATCTTTCAGAAAGGACTGTGATGAGATATTCTTAGATATGCAAAATTTTCCCTCTCTTTCCAAAGGCCATGCTCTGTTCAACAGAATTTCTATTGCTGTTTATATTTTGTATTATTTCTCGGTGTTTCTTTTAGCGCTGAGTTACTTGGTTTTATAGACTCTTTACAACTGTGGAAGAGCCAGTTTCTACTCTTTAGACCCTTCCGGAAGTCATAAGATGACATGGCACAACGATTTTTTTCTTTGCTGTGCTTCTTTTCTTATGGCAACTTCATCTTGTTACAGCCAAAGCTTAATTGCTCCACTGAAACACTGGCAACAAAAATTGCCTTCTCTTCTCCCTTTGTGAAAAATATTTTCACTTAATGTGGGAAAGGTATTATATACCAGGGAAACTGAACTTTCTATAAATGATTTCCCCCAAGAGGAACTAAAGCATTTGGAAGGTATCTGAATTCAGATAAGTAAGATCTCATGGCCTGGAGGTTTCAAAACAAACTGACTTTCCTTATTTTTTTCATACTCTATTATAGCCTTTTTAAAGCACAATATTGTTAATTTTTGTATCTTTATTCACTTTGAGTTACTAGACATCAGTCTACTACATTTTATTTATTTTTTAAAATCCTATGTGCCTAGGATTGTGCATGGTTTAATAAATATGTACTGAATGTAAATACAATCCTAACTTTATACATATACATATACATATATTTTATATACCAAATGGAGTATTCGTAGTACATTTTTAATACTAGACACGTTACTTTCTAATAGCAAAGTACTTCTGGACAATCTCCTCTTTTTAATAGGTACTATATATCCAAGGGATGAAATTTAGCATTAATATTATTATAAAAGAAATAGAATCATTAAAACTACGTATTAAAAAGAAATCCTCTAAAATATTTTCCAAATAATAACCCTGTTTATCTCAAGTCTCTTATCTGTTACCTACATATTTGTACTGAATGTGATTAAGCTTTATAGTAACATGGTTTTTAAATTCTAAAGGTGTTCTAAGAAGATTGACCCATAAATTAAACCTAGCATTCAGCAAGTCAATAAACTTTTATTGAGCAGCTACTCTATGCCATGCACTGCCTCATATTCTGGGGATATGGCATTTAGGAAGTAATAGGAGACCACTGTTTTTATCAAGTCTAATTCTAGAGGGAGGTGACAGATGATAAACATATAAACAAGTATAAAACATAAGAAAGTGACATAAGAAATGTTATATTAATAATTAACAGGGTGATTGAGTGAGAATGCAAAAGGGGGGTTTATTCATTTACTGATCAGGAGGAGCTTCACTAAAGATACTATAACTGAGGCCTGAATGATGAGAAGGAATCAGATATGTAAAGATTTATAGATGGTTTAGAATTCAGCAGATGGCCAGAAAGAATATTTTGCCTGAGACTTAAGTAAGAGAAAATGTCAGCCAGGCAAATAGCAGAGAGTAGAGAAGTCTTGGAACACAATACAGTTTTCAAAGGTTCTAAAATAGGAATTCCTGGAATAGGTTTAGTACGTGACCATGAAGAGAAAGAAAGGAATAGTATCAAGAGGTGAGCCCAGAGAGTAGCAGAGATCCTTCCAGGAAACTTCTGTAGAGCAGGTTGAAGAATATGGAATATCTAATTAGAGGATGATACAATTTGGTTTACAGTTGTGTTCTTCTGTATCTACTGAATTTTGATTTACATTTCAATGGACTCTTCCCAATGGCATTCAAATGTGCTCTGTGTCATTCATAGTTACTTCACCATCTTTCATTCACTTTTTCTATTCTTTTTCCTAGACATTTGTCTCAAAATGTTAACTATTTATGCTTCCTGTAATTGAATTCTATTAACTTCTCATCCTTTCAATGTATCTCACCTATCAGCTTTCATCTCTGCCATTTCCTTTAAATTGTCCTTGTGGTCCATTCTAAAACTCCTTTACTACATGATATTCAGCAATGTTGACCACAGCAACCTTCTGGAAACACTCGCTTTTCTTTGCTTCTGTGACACCATGTTCCTCTGATTTTCCTTTTGCCTTTTTTGACTCTTCCTTCTATAACTCCTATATGCTGACACCTTCCTTTTCTTAACACTAAATTTTGAAATTACTTAAGGATTAACCCCGAGCTTTCATCTGATATCACCATCATTCTCTTCTCATGTGCATTCATGCACACATGCCACTTTTAACATCACTTATATGCTAATGACTCCTAATTTCTTTCTTTCTTTAGGCCTCTCTCCAGAGCTTCAGACTCACATATCCAACTATGTATTTAAAACAATTTTTAAGCACAATCAGTACTGACCTCTAGACCTGTGCCCCAAATATGATGTTCATACAGTCTTCTTCAACTCAGTGAAGGCCATCTTCATCCACCCAGTGCACATTCTGTAATGAAGAGTTTGGTCTATTCTATCACCAAAATGTATTTTAAATGTTTCTTTTTCTCCATCTCCGTTGTTACCAATCTAGTTTAATTTTCTTTCATTGAAACTATTGTCAAGTCTCTAAGTGGTTTTCTTTTCACTTTTGTCTTTCTAATTTATAGTCTTCTTTGAAAGATGTACATTTCCAATAAAATGGTAATTATATGTGAGTGTAAGTGTAATTTTTCATATGTATATATTTAAGATGTATATACTATGTATTTCATATATTTCTGTCTATAAATGTAAACATCTTTTATTTCATTTTGGTCACTCTTCCTTAAATAATATAAAAATTTTGTTAGAAGTGCTTGGTTAAATATATCTCATTTTCTGACACTTCGCTTCTATATTAAGATTAGAGAATAATTTTTAGAAGATAGCATCAATGAATTATTGAACCAGATTAGTCCTACAATCATATTTTATGAGCTGGGATGGAAATTATTAGACAACTAGTCTACCAGACTATATAAAAAATGAGAAAACCCAGAGAAGTTAAGTGGCTTACTCAAGGAAAGATAATCTATTAATAATAGAGTTGGGATGGGAATCAAGTATTCTGACTTTTAAGCCAATGTTTTTTCTTACCGTGACCTTAAAGGCCAGCATAATTACTAGTTATCTAGTACTGACAGCCAAATTAAGACCAATCAAATTCAGAGAATTTATTTGGAGGTTAAATATGGTTTTCCAAGACACAGAATAAGTATCAGGTAGGCACTTTCAGATTGGTAGGCCTATCCTCTTAAATATAAATAATTAAGAAGGAAATATATAAATATATGTGTTTGTATGTATGTATATGCATACACGTATTTGCTGGAAAGGCATTTACATCTTTTAAATCTCTCCTACTATTATCACTTCCTTTTACAGAAGGAAAATTTAGCCTTATATAGACTAACGAAAACCAGATTGCCCATCTGTCTGAATTATGTTCTCTTTACTCCACTAATGAAAAGGAAGCTGAATAACATGTCAGACTTGAATGAAGTAAAAAACAAAACAAAACAAAAAACGCTTTGTTCTTGCTTTTGTTCTTAATTTCTGATTTAGAAAAATTTTCCTCTCTAGTGCCATCTTTAACAAGCATTCAGATGAGAAATCCTAGTAATTTGATGTCTATTTCACATAATTTCTTCAACAGGAGAAATGGGGATTTTCAAAAATTAATATTTTGGTTTATTTTTAAAGAAAGCTGTAATGGAAACTGAAACTTCAGGTAGTTTCCTATGTTTTGCATTGACAATTTTCTCTAAGTTTCCTGGTCTTATGACTCTTTGCTTCATTATTAAAACTGTGCCAATGCATAGGCCTTAGAAATTTTTTAATGCTCACATAAATTAAATGAAAAATCAGATAGTAAATTTGTATTAAAAGTACAAACACCACTATATGTGGTCTTTTTCTTTCTTTATATACTCTACAGTTCTTAGTTTTCTACAATGAAGATGTATTAGTTCTGTAATTAGTATAACTGGGAGACATTTTTTTGTTTGTTTTTTTAAAACACCGGGTCTTGGTCTTGCTCTGTCCTCCAGGCTGGAGGCTGGTATGCAATTGCACAATAAGAGCTCACTGTAAGCCTTGAACTCCTGAACTCAAGCTATTCTTCTATCTCAGCCTCCCAAAGTGCTGGGACTACAGGCATGCACCATCATACCTGGAATTATTTTTATTTATTTATTTATTTTTGTAGAGATGACGTCTTGTTATATTGGCCAGGCTGGTCTTGAACCCCTGGCCTTAACCTCCTACTTCAGCCTTCCAAAGTGCTGCGATTACAGGTGTGAGCCACCACATGTGGCGAGAAATTCCATAAACTACAAAATGCATTGAGAAGGCAGATTTCAAAAATTCAACCTGTCCCTGCTAAGGACAAAAGTATTCAGTTTTTCTACAGAGAATTTGCTCTTATTCGCTTAAAAGGGAAGGTGCCTAGAGACTGGAAGGAGAGAGCTACTTTCATGGTAAAAACAAAACAAAGAAAAGGTTTTAAATGTTGAATTATTAAACCCCTAAATCCATATCTTTATTCCCTCCTATATAAAAGTGACTAATCTCTATTCATCACCTAAACATACTCTAAAAAGATAATTTGTAAGGTCACAATGATCAATGAACGTTTAGAAACTCAATGGACAGTAATAAAACCAATGGGATTATGAACTAGAATTGATCAATGCAAACACATGAAAACAAACACATTTCACTTCAGAGGTTTATTATACTGCTTTCTTGGAACTATAATTAGTTAAAAAGATAATTTTTATGCAAATAAAATATTGATTGAAGAAATAATTACAGTTGGTGGGAAAACTGCCATGTTGACATTAGATATTCATATATAATTATAATTTTAAAAATTATTATTTTTCAGTATTAGAAACTGAACTTAAACTAAGATTAGATAAGCACTTAAAATAAAGCTAGGCAAAATTTTAAAAGTCATAGAATGAGTAATTGAATAAATTAGCTAGTGAAATCAAATATATTCTCCTAGAAGGCCTGTAACACCTTGACTTATTCATTTATCACATATTTGCCGAGCACCTAATCTATGGGAGATAGAAAGAAGAATGAAACATTGTGTCTGCTTGTGATGCACACTGCCTAATGTGAGTACTATGAAAAATAGTCATATGTTTCTCTTCCTATCCCCCTCACTGGAAGGTGACCTCTTTGGGTTCTAGTACTGTTTTATACATATCAATTCCTAGAATCAGCATAGTCAATATATATATTTTCAAACTGAACAGCTGGCCAAAAATACATCTGGAAAAAAAAGGTTGATGTGTGTCATATAAGAACTACAAATAAAATTCAAGGATTATTACAGGAGAGAAAGATTGCATAAGGTGAGAGCAGGGAGGGGAAATGTGCTTGGCTAGAGGATTAGCAGATATTTAAGAAGCTAAGCGGTATAATTTAGGATGTCTAACAAAGCCATTTACGTAATAGTCTTATCCCACTATATAAACACTAAAATCCTTTCAAGTCCTAATAAAATCTTCTAGCTCCTCCTTCCTCTCAAGCAGATTTTGGGGTGCATAATTCTGGTATTGGAATAATCATGTGCCCTCTGAGAACACAGTAAAAAAGGAAAGGAGTCTTCCAGAAGCCACACAGGCCCAATTTTCCATAGTAAAATTAAGTGGCAATGTCATGGCCAATTCTCCACTTCTGCAGGGGAAGCCAAGTCTGCTCTTTACTCACTGACATAATACAGCTTAGGGTCAGTCTTTGAATGTGAAGACACTGCCAAACTAGGTGGGAATTGCCAGGATTACACAAACCAGAGTTGCAAATGAGGGCTGTGTTGATATAAGGGAAAAGGCCACAGAAGCCACATCTTTCCTACTTCCTGCGTAATATCCTCTGCTCTGAAATTTTGAAGAAGTTTCTAAAGTTGCTCATAAGAGCATTTCTCTTTTTGGGTACACCTCCTAGCTGACCAAAAAATGTGAACAATAGGAAATGTAAGAGCCAGTATGCAAATTAATCAACTTGTATTTAGTGTCTATTGGATTCTTAGCAAGAAGAGGAGCTATGGATGGAAAATTACACAGTAAAAAAACAACTATTAAATTTAGGATTTGTAATTTAATATACACAAGATATGTCAAGCAAACCTGGAGTAAGAACCTGCCCGTATGTGTAGACGAATGATGGTTCTTCTTTGAAAATCTGCTTTGTGACTAGACGTGAATTTGAGTGAGCCACTTCACCTCTCTGCACTTCAACCCTTCATCTGTAAAATCTAGAATTGGATCAGAGGAATTCATTGTTCCTCCAATATCCTTGGGGACATTTGGCTAGATAAGCATCTCCTTTTGCTGCTTTACATAAAATCTTGAACCTTAAGAAAATATCAATGAAAAAGTGGAAATGAGCTACTGTTAATCATAGATTATCAGAGTCTGTAGAAATATTCTCTAGTCCAAGAGTTTACCTTATAAATGAGGAAACTGAGATGCAGAAATGTGAATTGAGTGGCCTAAGAGTACAGTCGGTGGTAGATCCAGGTCCCACGATCCAGTTCTCTTACTTCTGTTTCTGATTAGGCATTTCATAGTCCTCCCAAATGTATAGCTTTATGTTCATCTGAAAGTCCTTTTAGTATTTATTGAGATTCATTCGTTTGTTTCCTACAGTTCTTTGATATTTAACTCGTCATTACAAATTCAGACAGCATGGGAAATAGCAAGGGCAAAGCTCAATAATTTGTTTTAGGAAACAGAAGTAATATTTAAATAGTACCTAATGGTCACCTCTTCCTCCTACCTAGAACAATTTAGATGTCTCTTAGGCCAAAAAAAAAATATCTGGGGAGAAATGACAAAACAAAACAAAACTATAGTTGAAAAGAAACTGTTATAAAAACTTAGATGTTAATAGCATGTTGATAATAATGGGGAAGAGAGAGCTATAAATAAAGATATTAAAACTTTTGTATTCATACCTACATAAAGAAACGTGATTTACCAAAAGTAGTTATTTGTCACAAAATTACTATTACATTTTGGGAAGCAATAGTCAAATAAGTTGCATACATTACTGTATAGTGTTACCAAATCATCTAGAATAAGAACTACAAATAGTAATTACAGTTGATTCATATCTATAATGCTACAATACCTGTCCATGTATGTGAATACCTTGGAAATTTGCCAGACCTTCTAAAACATGTCCTTTCTACAAACCTCTGTTTAGCAATATCTCAACAAGGAGAGGAAGGCAGTTGATGTGATTTTAATATCATAAGGGGGAGCTGGCATAGAGAGATACTTTTTAAAAAAAGGTTTTATTATATTTCATTCTATGGACCATAATCCAATTAATTAATTGATTCCTGTTGTCTCACACTCATGCTGTTTCCAAGTTCTCTTTTTTAGCAATGCTACAATGATGTACACTTCTCCCAGAAACGTGAAATACCACCGATTTCTCCCCAAATCAGGAGATATGCTTTTTAACATTATACATTTTTTCCTATCTCAGGAAAAAATGCTACATTTTAGAGAAAATTTTTTATATAACCTATCCTTCTTTGAAGGAAATGCTTTATGCTCCTTTTATATCAGAAAACCGCTACTCAATAAGGACAAACCTCTTTTTATATTATTTAGAAACACTTCCATGTGGCAGCTAAAAACA